GAAGACACAGAGAACTTCATGTCCAGTCTCTGTGTGTGATTTGATGAAATAATTGCCTTAGGACCTGCTGACACTCTAATTGGAGTCTGTGTAATGCAGAATCAGAACCTTACTTAGAACTGCACTCTCTTTATTTTAAGTATCCCTCTGTTAATTTCATTTGAATAACTCCCTCATTTAAATCTGAGAGAAGAATTCAAATTTCATCATCTCCCCCTGACTGTGTGCTGTTTATCACTTGTTTCCTTCTCTCATGGCCTCCTCATTATCCATTTTCGTGGGTCTGGTGCTGCAGCACCTGAACATGGAAAAGGTTTTAAGATTCAAAAATCTCAATCTGCATGATAAAAATATTTTGTCATGAGCGATTTAATTCAGTGTTGGCAGTTCTCATTATTCTGATTACTTTTTTCTCTTCGTTCTCAGCTCTAAGGAATACCATGTTTCTTATGAAAATCTGAAGTTTTCATATGCAAAAAGCAAATTTCTGTTTCTCATGTTTCCACAGAAAAGCTCAGAAGCATAAATTTTCAATACCCACTTCCAAGTAAATGAGTCAAATAAAAAAGAAGCCCCCAAACCATAATTCAACACATAAAAAAAACCCCAACACTACCAGAAATGCCAAACAAAACAACCAGAACTAAAACTCATTTCTCAGGAAGTGAAAATTCACAATGTTTGAACTCTTGAAATTATTGCTCTTAGTAAAAATGAGCATGATTTGAATTTTAGCTCCTCCTTCTTGTGCTCTATGTTGATTTGTTTTTATTTCAGATTACTCTCCTGAAGTCAAAGGTAGAATGTGGCCCTATGGAATATTTTCCTCTGGAAAGAGATTTGTTTACCTTTACTGTGTGCAGGATTCCTGTCTGGGCAGATGGCTTTCACAGGTGTCTGCACCACTTACGTTTCTAATTAAGTAAAGCCTCACACAAGGATGAATTTCACACCATAAGAATTTGTGTGAAATGCAATTAATATTCTGCAGTTTGTGTTTGTGCGCTAGGTGATCTCCTCAAGGTGGGGCTAATGAAGATATGAGGGTGTACACAGCAAAAGGTGAGAAAATTCATTTGCAGAGCGAGCATGTGGCCAAACTGAAACTGTGCAAGTTGAAAAGAACATAAAGAACCTGAAATTCTTTAGAAAGACCTTTCTGAGATGACTTTCAGTCACCAGAAGAGGAGGTAGAAGGACCCTGTTATTCTGAGGTGCTGTGATACCCAAAGGTGCTCCAGCATCAGGGAGTTTATTCATTTCCTCTGCAGTACAGTATTAAATTGCTCTCTTTTTTTTGCTTTCCAACCGTATTCTGTGTGAGCAGCTTCCAGTGCAGATGTGGAGGTCAGTAAAGGTCACCAGCATGTGCGTGCTGGTTTATTAACTAAAAAAAAAAGGTGTTTCTTGGGCTTGATATCTCACCTGGAGTACAGTTCCAGCACAGTGGCCCAACTAGCACAGGAGTTATCTGAACTATGACATTTCCTTACACCAACTGGCAATAAATTCTGAAAGGAAAATTGTCATAATATTAAAACTGAGTCTGGGCTCTGTGCATTTCTGAAAAGCGTGAGGTTATGAGGAACTTTGATTTTGCTTGTTGATGAACATAGGATTGGTAGGTCTGAGTAGTCACAACTCTGCTTTTCTTTTCAGACTTCTACCCTTTTAGAGATTTTCATGAGGAAATTATTTGCTGCATAAGTGTCATTTTTGTTCAAGAATTTTGTCTTTTTTTCTTGGGAGCAGGTGAAGGATCCTTTTGAACTAATTGCCCAGCACTTGACTAGCTGGGTGAACGATATTTGTTTATTCACAGTTCTACATATGACATTTAAATATTATTTACACTGTGTTTAGCTGAAGTCTTCATATAGGCAGCTAGATCCATAGAACTTTTTATTATATCCAAAAATATGAATCTACATGGTGTTTAAATTCAGAATATATTCTGCTTTGAACAAGCCTCTTTGCCTTACACATATATCTGCCTGACTTAATTTTTTAAGATATTTTTAAAGACTGCTGTCTCCAATGTGAAGAACCTTTACAGAAATTATTTTAATGAGCTAGACATTTAGTTCAACAGAAGTTTCTTCATAGAAAAATAAATTAAAAGAATAATTTTCTTTTTTAAATACAATTAATTAAAAACTGTCCATTTGATGACAGATTTAACATTTTGTCTGACATGTAGAGAAGAAGAAAGTGCCTGGAATTGCACAAGTGGAATAAAATGTTCCATTTCACAGCAAGGCCAAGCTTTAGTCTTGTAATTATTTCAAAGGGAGTAAAGGTCATTTTCTATTTGCTGCATCTCTATTATGTGAGCCTTCTGTACCAGGCTTACAGAAGTTAACTCATGACCCATTTAGATTGCCCAGATTTCAATGTCAACTTAGACTGTCACAAATCTGATAAAGCTGACATACTCCCATCTCTAAGTACTGCTATAGATGATGTCCAAAGAGGCTTTTTATTTATAGCTCCGTAAGACAAGAGTTCCAGCTTTAAGGTTTGAGTTGCTGGGAGATCAGAACATGATTTGCCTCTCACTTGCTGTGTTAATCCTTTAGGAGAAGAGCTGTTTGTAGATAAATTTCAGGATATATGGCTTGGACTGTTTTTCTGGTGGGGACTCATTATATAACTTTGCTTGCATCTTGAGATGGGAAGAGGTTTTCTCCTGCTGTGATTGCATTTTAATGCATATTCATCCAGGAACACTGAGTCAGAAAGACAGGTACTTTAAACCTGCACCTGTGCACACAGAAAATGAGTGCAGAAGATGCATGTGTGCCTTTCTTCCTGTGCATATGCCCATTGAAATGCATATAAGGCAGGATTTTTAACAATCAGTAATCAAGCTTTATGCACAATTTTCAGGGCAGGCTCTGAATACCCCAGCGCACATTTGCAGATATCTCCTGCTGGAAGACTTGAAGGGGACACATCCAATTCTCAACCAAAATCTCCAATAAAACCAAAATATCAATGTCATTAAGAGAATGAGGGATTGGAAGCTGTGGTTTTAAACCTTTTTAAGAAAGGCAGGAATAGTGTGATGATACTGAAATTATTAGAAGTCAAGTGTGTTGCACTTTTCTTGGTGTGTTACTTTAAAACTTTCTCTTCTTTCTTGGTTAATCCTTCCAAGGGACCATTGTGGAGCAGGACAGGATGGAAGGCAAAGATGTCCATCTGTTGTGTTTGTCTTCCACCAGATTAATTAACATGAAATATTCTGGCTGCTCCTTGCAGTCTGCTGGCACTTCTGGCCAAGCTTTTATAGCAATGGCCTGACATGAAACAAATGATCCAGCAGTTGGTTCCATGAGAACAGCTAATGCAGACCAGGTGCCTTTGGACTTTGTAAATGGGATCACACTGGACTTTAAATGAGTGGGAAATGCAAGAAGGGAGAGAGCAGATCATGTATCACTGTGATTTAGCAAATGGATTGTGAGTGGTGGGGAGCAGGGAAATGTGCAGCTGTTAAATTATTGCAGGACATCTCTTTAGGATCAGGATCAGCAGGCTGGGATGGTAAAGGAGTGGAGGTGAGACTGAGAGATGCTGCTGGGGCTTTGGGAGAAGTGAGAGTGCTGTTGTCACCTGAGCTGGTGAAGGAGAAAAGAACCCTCAGTGTTCGCTGGTGTGGTATTAGGGAGAAATTGTCTTCACTTTAACCCTGAAGAACTTTATTTCCAAAACTGTAATTTTGTGTTGAGGATGTCTTCAGTAAATAGACCCATTGTGCAGAGCCACTTGAATTTAGGAGTAAATGCCTTTCAGAAACCCCTGTGTTTGTTTTATTCTTGGTTGCCCCACGTGCCCTCTCTCGCTGATTGTGCTGGGGCTGCCTGACAAGCAGCAGATTGCCCATAACAATTTTGAGATCAGAGTGGTCAGTGCACCACCTGAAAGTCAGGCTTTGTAAAACACCTTTAGATGTTCTAAAGCAGAAAGTACTTCTGAAAATGCACTTACACACATATGGGTTGGAAAATATGATTTGGCTTTTCCTGCTCTTAACCTTGCCTCCTTTTGCCTCTCTCTTTAGCCTTTTAAACTTTTTAGTAATTTCTTTTTGCTAGCTGCTTCTTTCTTGACCATTCTTACTTCCATGCTCTCATTTAAGAGCTGCCAAGAAAAATAGCCCTTCAGGTTTTTTCTCTATTCAGAGATAAAATGCTTCAGAGTCTGAGATTAGAATTGTACCTATTCCCAAGCAATTTTATTTTGCTTGTAAGCTTCCTCCCTTGATGTTCCTGTGGTGACACAGAGCTTGGGTGACCATGTTCTGACAGTGACACAGACTGTATTCAGCTGGAGCCTTCAGATCCACCTCCTCTATGATGCACACTTTTCTTTTTCAGTCCTCCCTTGCTGTAAACAAGCTTTTGATTGTAGGAAAAATGGGCAAACTGTGGCTTGGAGAGAAAGAAAAGAAATAGTTTGTACTTGCTAGCATAGAATTTATTCTAGAAATGAAACTTCTGTACGTGAGACTTTACCCATGAATACAGAATTTCTTCTGCAACTTGGTGATCAACTTTGAGACAGATTTGCAGCTCTTAATTTATCACTTTTTCAAATTCATTTGCTTATGCTTAATGTCAGCATATATTTAGGTCCAGCTGTATTCAACTAGGCCTAAATAAATGTGATTTTTAGGAGCAATATTACATCCTATGTTTTTATGGACCAGTAACAATCTTTATTGATATTCTGAACTGAAATTCACCTTGAAAGCTACTATTTTGTAATTTCAATGCCTGCCCATATATATATAAAAGCAAAAACCTTACATAAAACTTTTTTAGCAAGATTTGAAGGGGAAGTGTGATGTGATGGATATTTTGTTTTATGAGTATGGACCCCGATGTTTTGTTTTATGAGCACTGAGCCTAAACCCGCTATGGTTCCCAGAAGCCAACATGATGGATGAAGGAGTGGATGTTAAAAGTCTATTTCTGTTTTTTTTTTCCCCTCAGGTTCTGCTGCTTGCATGTGCAGAAGATTTAGAATGTGTCCCTGGATTCCAGCAGAAGATTTTTTATATAGAAAAGCCATTTAAATTCAGAGAGGACCAGCTGATTCTGAACCGTATGTTGTTTTCTTATATTACTATTGTGCAAAAATCAGAATTGTTTATGGATTCATTTCATTCCTGCCATTTATCAGAAAGTTTTTTTTGTTTTGTACCTAAGATTTTGGATATTGTCATGATTCAGTCTGAGTTCCCCTGTATTAATCCTATGTCTCTACAGGCTTGACTTTGTTTCATATATTAGAAATGGCAAAACACAATATATAATCATTTAGGGCTGTGTGAATATTGTGGAAACCTAGAATCAGCCATTTCTTAAAAATTAAATTTACTCTGAATTTCTTTTATAGTCTTACCTATGAGCCTGAAATCAGGGCTTGCACATCAACATCTCTATTGAATTATCTCTGCAACTGAGATTTAGAACTTAATATTTTGAAAGCACTCATAGCTGATACAAGTCCAAGTCTTGACATGAAATTCAAAGGCTGGAAGAAGTTTGGGATCATCAATGGTAGCAAAGTGTCACACAACTGGAATAGTCAGTATATTTCCATAGAGCAGGTATCAAATTATAAAACCCAATCTGACACTGTACGCTCAAAACATTAAACTGAGGGAGATTTAACAGTTTTTCAGTTCTGGAGTCAGTTCACTCCAATACTTCAGGGTTACAAATTGCTCATTCCATTCTGGGGCTTTGGGATTTCAGCCCTGTCACACAAAAGTGGTGCCTTATCCAGTGGTTGATGCCTTTAAAGACTTAAAAAAGGATTTAAGTGCTGCCATTTTCATAACTTCCAAACACACCTGCATTTTTATGTGTGATATTTATTACTAATGATTTCTTTGTTGTGCTTAGCTGCTGGTGTGAACCAGGAGTTCTTCTGGGTGTCTTGCAATGGGAAATATCCTATGTGCAATATTTGAATCCTACAGTGGGATGCATCCCATGGCTTGGTGGGACCAAGAAACGCAAACCAGTATTACTCACCAAATGTACACATTTCCAACTCGGTTCCATCCTGCTACACACTGATGTATTTTCACTTCAGATGAAGGTGTAATCTGTGCACATTCACTTTAAAATAGCATTAACTTCTCAAAACGAAATGTCAGAATTAGTTGCCAAAGTCTATTGAAATAAATCTCTAAAACTTAAGTCATCCAGCCTTTGGAGGTACTAAAATAAACCTCTAGGATAACATTTTTAGTCTCAGCATTTTGATATGTTGCTTAGTCTGAGTTGCTTTTTCACAGGAACTTTAGATCATGAGTAGTAGTACTAGTCAGAGATGTGAGATTGTTGTTCAGCTTAGAAAAGAGGCTTCAAGTTTCTTATTTCTTTATGAAATTTCATTTTCTCTGGAATTCTTATTTTGGGCTTGTCAAACACATTATTCCTACGTGGTTAGAAGTTGAAATTCTCAGAATATAATAGATTCAATAAGCAAGCTGGTTTGAAGACCTATTAAAAGAAGCAATATGATAAACTATATGAATATGGATAAGCCAAATTGAATACAAACAACTTTGTTGAATGCTTTTTTGCTTCAGAACTTTGAGGCTGTAGTGTGTCTGGCCAGATCTCCTGGTGATTTGGACAGGATCACCCCAAGGAGGGGTTGGTTCCAAACTGACTGGGCTGCTCTGGGGTGACCCAGCCACTTGCGGTGGCATAAAATGAGCACAAATAATTAAGATGCCATCATTAGTGAGAGGAGGGGGGAAGAGCAAGAAGAGACTCAGAAATGCCTGGGAACAATCTGTGGAATTAAATTATTTTAATAAGCAGACAGTAAATTGGCCTAATGTGCAGTGTTGGACAGAGGCAGGTTGTCGACGCGTGGTCCTGGTTAATTCAATCACCCACAAACAGGGTGTCCTTCATGCAGCACCATTAAACCTCAGCACAGTTCCTTCATTTTAGCTGTCAACAGAATTGATAATTTTAATTGTCTGTTTGAATACACTTTGCATGCTCTTGCATCTTTTTATGCCCATTACCAAGAGCAGTGTAATTTAGCAGTTGCATTGCAATGTGAGGCTTACCAGGGCTGTGTAAATTAATAGAGCAAATATGTAAACCAGGCCTATAGCAGTGATTGTTTTTGTAGTCCTCAATAAGCCAAGGAGCTCCTTAATTCTTTTCTGAAGTGCAATAACACAGTCTTTTTCTTTTTTTTTCTTTTTCAATTTAAACAAGAACCTACTGTACGTTTCATTGCCAGCATCTCCCTTGTAATTAAATATAGGTTGTAGCTGGTTCTTCTGTATTTATTACTTCTACCTATGGCAGTGTTAATTATATTTTACATTTACTGATGGGAAAAATGAAGAGTAGACCATACTGAGGGTACAGAATTTTCTCTTATTTCTTGTTGTGATTTGTAGCAATTTTTATTAAAGCCTGCTTATAAGCTGGCCATGACAAGTCCACGTGTGTGTGCATATTGTCCTTCCTATCAGTTTCAGTGGTATTCAGTTACTATTCGTTTTTCTGTCATTGTGCTCAGGCTGAACTGGCTTTTTAATTCGTATTTATTTATTTGGTCTTGCATCTCATTTAGTAGTAACTCCAGACTTTGACCATTTCTTTGTCCCTGTTTGGTCATTATATTTTCCCCCTCAGACCCCTTCAGATCTCCTTATAACTTGTGTTTTCTATAGTCATAAACAAAATAAGGCACGGCACTTTTACTTTTGGTCTGCCTAATTTTTTCCTCTGTGTGCAGAACCAGATGTTCCCTTGATGTAGTAGGAAAAGATCCATGGAGTCACTTTCTGGAAATAGTAATTATATCCACATAATTATTATTCTTACAGACAGTTGCGTCAGTTTTTTTCCTTCCTTATAGCTTTTTCTTTTTTTAAACTTTACACTTAGGACCATTTTTCAATCCAATAGTGAAGATTATCAAGATTTCCACATTCTTGATGAAGTGCTAATTGACAGCATTTAATTACAGGTTTTACACCTGTCAGAAGCACTTGTGGCCAGGAAATGCCTGTCCCTGCCAAGGCTGGCAGGTCACTGGCAGTGACAGGGCTCTGTCACGCTGGGCTGAGGGAAAGTTCCTAATCAGACTCAACAAACGTGGGAATGTAATTGTGTTACATTAATCACATTTATACTTAACACACATCGGGCTTGGCTTTTGGGGGTATTTTTAATTGACAATGAATCAAATAGTGCACTTGAATAATGGAGGCAATTAACATAAAGCACGAGGTGATGCATTGTGCATGCTAAACTGGGGGAGGCATTGCCAGTGCTTTAAATGTCAAAACAGAGGAAGTTTTGACCCTTACTTGAAAAGCTCTAATTTGGATGTTAATTAATGGCTGACCTCTTGTGTCTCTTACGTGATAGATTGCCTGTTCAGAGCCTGGGCTGCTTCAAGATCAAGGTTTTGTCTGTCTGCATTTGGGTACTTTATGTTCTGTGGATTTTAACAAAGAGCTTTTCTATTCAACCATATCAAAATCATTGCTTACTCATATGATGTGAAATATCTTAGTGTGCCTGTTAATGCTTAAAAGCAGATTTTCAATTGTCTGGCAAAGCTGTGACCTCCAACAAGATTTACTTTGTTCAAACCAAATAAAGCCTGTGGAAAGATCAGAGAAGACCATTCCTCCTCCTACAGCCTTGTGTGCACACAGATCATGGCCCTGGTCGTGCCCACATCCAAATATTTCCTGTTGATTCTGAGCTGATGCCATGTGAGAGCTGTGATTTATCACACCCACCCTTCCCACTGATTCCATGCCAGTTGCCTGCACAGATGGCCTCTTCCTGTGCCTGTTCCATGCTCCCAAAAGTGGTGTTGTTCCTCTCCTGCTCATCCAGATCCTGGAGTTATCACACCCACTTGGTTCATCTCCCCTTCCTCCCTCTCCCCACACCCTGAGCAGGGCCAGCCTCATTCAGCCCCCTGTGGTCTGCCAAAGCCTCTTCAGGTCCTGACACAGGGTTTGGATGTGGCTGTTACCTCTTCATGCTGAATACTGAAGCGTTTGGGTAATTGGGATTGCACATGGTAGTTGTAGCTTGCAAAAGAACGTGTTCAAGCAAGGTAAGATTTTATGCTTAGCAATTTCTTGCAGGGAAAACTGTCTGAGCTTCTGGGTAATAGGGAGATAACTGTGGATTTTCCACCTATTCAGTGTGTCCTTGCTGAAACAGTGTTGTGTCTTTTCAAAATGAAGAAGTTTTTAATGCATTTTGAGTTGTACAAACATCTTCAATTTTCTTTCAATTCATGTAAATCACTCAGTGAGTTAAGAATGTGCTTCAGAAGATGTTGAAAAATGACTTGGTTCCCATTCCTTGGCATGAGGGAACAGGTTCAGTGGAAAGGTATCTCAGCTTTCCTACCCAAGCAAGGGAGTGCTTGCTATATCCTAAAATATATATCTTAATGGGCTCATAAGCATGGATAGAATTTGAATACTAGAGCTTCAATCTGACACTTGGGTGCATGGTTAAGATAAGGCACCTGGAACTCTTATTCCATGTGGACAGAAATATTGGTCACGATTTGAAGTAACACATCTTAAGCACACTATTCCTATTTAAATGGTTATAGAAAGCCAAACTCATGTAAATAAAGTTCCAGGAAATACCTGGGGCTCTGTGCAAAATGGTTGTAAAGCTGTGGAAGTTTTAAAGTGGGAGGTTGGGAATTTTACTACATGCTTGTGGAGGCAGGGTGAGGAAGATCCTTTTGCACCTAAATACCTGATGCATTGCTTTTTAATTGAAGTTTGATGATGAACTCCTACAAGTTTGATGTTGAACTCCTACTCCTCCCCCTTGGAGGGAGAACGTTTTCTGGAAACACAAATTATAACTAAATAATACAGAATATCTCAAATGTGCCTCTGAATAGATACATGCAGGTTGGTGTTGCAGCACAACAATATCACATCATCTGTTTAACTGCTTTCACACATGATTGAAAGAGAACAAAATAGGAGAGAATAGTTGTTGAGTGCCAGGTGGTCAGACAATTCCCTCCCAAAAGCCTCCAGGACCCGAGAGGGAAGGACT